GAAGGCATCCTTTTCTTGTTCCTGATCTTAGACAAAAGCTTTCAGTCTTTCACAATTAAATGGGAATTTTAGCTGTGGGATTTTCATATATGGCCTTTATTATGTTAAGATATTTTCCTTCTATTCCTAGTTTGTTAATGTTTTTATTGTGAAAAAGTGTTAAATTTTGTTAAATGCTTTTTTGGCATCAATTGAGAAGTTGTGTGGGTTTTTTCCATCATTCTGTTAATGTAGTATATTATATTGATTGACTTTTTTATGTTGAATCATCCATGCATTCCAGGAATAAATCCTACTTGATCAAAATATATAAACCTTTTAATATGCTGGTGAATTCAGTTTGCTAGTGTTTTGTTGAAGATTTTTGCATCAGTGTTCATTAGGGACATTGGTCTGTCTTTTTCTTTTTTTTTTTTTAATACTAAGTATTTTATTGTATGCTGCTACCAGTGTATATAAAATAATTTCCCTTATGAAATAGAAATTCATGAAAATTCAGAAAGGTAGATGTTAAGGACTGACAAAAGCAAAAGTTTATATATAGTATGGCACATGTTATAGTGATAAGCTTTTTGTACAGGCATCAGATTTAGCTCTCCTTTGAAAATTCACTGGTTCATGAAAAGTGGTTTAGAAACCTCCAAAGATTAGTTTCACTACAAAAAGGAGCAGACTTTCTGGCATCTGAAGGGATTTGTACTTGAAGATACTCCAGTCAGCAGGGGGTCATGTTGAGCAATCTGCAGACAGAATTGTTTCAAATCTGCAGCTGTCTGGGAAACCTTCATGCGGTTGAGCCCGGCCTTCCAACCGGAGCTGTTGAACCACTTTCTGAATAGCGGTGACGCTGGAGAAACCAGACATGGCGCATGCGAGAGCCTGGCCGATTAGTCGGTTGTGGGTTGGTGGATCGTGAGTCCATGGGGCCAGACAGCGGGGCAGTGAGGCGAGGGGCCTGGTCTGTCTTTTTCTTGTAGTATCTTCGTCTGGCTTTGGTAGTAAGGTAATGCTGGCCTCATAGAATGAGTTGGGAAGTGTTCCCTCCTCTTCTACTTTTTTGGCAAAGTTTGAGAAGGATTGCCTTTTCTTTAAATGTTTGGTAGAAATCACCAGTGAAGCCATCAGGTGCAAGACTTTCTTTTGTTGGTAGTTTTTTTTATTACTGATTCAATCGCCTTACTATTAATAAGTCTATTCAGATTGTCTATTAATTTGTGATTTAGTCTTAATAGGTTTTGTATTTCTAGGAATTCATCCATTTCATCTAGATGATCCAATTTTTTGACTTACAATTGTTCATAGTACTCTTTTATAATCTTGTTTATTTCTGTAGAATGCAAGCGATGTTCTCATTCTCAGTTCTGATTTTGGTAATTTGAGTCTTTTCTCTTTTTTTCTTAGTCTATCTAGCTAAGGTTTGTCAATTTGGTGATCTTTTCAAAGAACCACTTTTCGTTTCATTGATTTTCTCTATTGTTTTTCTAGTCACTATTTAGTTTACCTCTTCTCTAATCTTTATTTCCTTCCTTCTAGCTTTGGGTTGTGTTTGTTCCTCTTTTTTCTAGTTCCTTAAATTGTAGAGTTAGGATGTTGATTTGATATCTTTGTTTCTTTCTTTCTTTTTTGAATGGAGTTTGCCAGGGAGCTTGGAAGAGCCAAGTAGCCATCTTGGGTTTCCCACAGCCCTGACTATTCATTTAATTTACACCCATTATTATTAATTTTTTATTGGGGATTATTGGGGAACATTGTGTTTTCCAGGACCCATCAGCTCCAAGTCAAGTAGTTGTTTCAATCTAATTGTGGAAAGCACAGCTCAGTGGCCCATGCGGGGATTGAACCGGCAACCTTGGTGGTATGAGCACTGCACTCTAACCAACTGAGCTAACTGGCCGCCCCTCTTTCTTATTTTTTAATGTAAGCATATATAGCTATACGTTTCCCTCTTTTTTTTAATTAAAGTTTATTGGGGTGACAATGGTTAGAAAGTTACATAGGTTTCAAGTGTACAATTCTGTAATACATCATCTATATATCGCATTGTGTGTTCACCACCCAGAGTCAGTTCTCCTTCCATCACCATATACTTGACCCCATTTAGGACCTGAATAGACATTTCTCCAAAGAGGACATATAGATGGCCAATAGACATTGAAAAGATGCTGAACATCACTAATCGTCAGAGAAATGCAAATAAAAACCACAATGAGATGTCATCTCACACCAGTTAGAATGGCTATCATCAACAAGACAAATAATTACAAGTATTGAGGCTGTGGAGATAAAGGAACCCTCATACACTGTTGAGGGGAATGCAGATTGGTGCAGCCTCTGTAGAAGGCAGTATGGAGGTTCCTCAAAAAATTAAGAATAGAATTACCATATGACCCAGCAATCCCTCTCGAGGGTATTTACCCAAAACATCTGAAAACATTTATCCATAAAGATATGAGGTCTGACAATTAAGTTCACGAACTTATTGCAACAATGTTGCTAACCTTTTTTTACATCAGAGAGATTATTCATTATGAATTTGTACCAACCGGACAAACAGTTAACCAAGTTTACTATTTGGAAGTGCTGAAAAGGCTGTGTGAAAAAGTTAGACAACCTGAACTTTTCACCAACAATTCTTGTCTCTTGCATCACAACAATGCGCCAGCTTACATGGCACAGTTTGTGAGGGAGTTTTTAGCCAGAAAACAAATAATTTTGTTGGAACACCCTCCCTACTCACCTGACCTGGCCTGCAATGACTTCTTTCTTTACCTAAAGATAAAGGAAATATTGAAAGGAAGACATTTGGATGACATTCAGGACATCAAGTGTAATACAATGACAGCTCTGATGGCCATTCCAGAAAAAAGAGTTCCAAAATTGCTTTGGAAGGTGGCCTAGGCATTGGTGTCAGTGCATATTTCCCAAGGGGAGTACTTCATAGATGACTATAGTGATATTTAGCAATGAGGTATGTAGCACTTTTTCTAGGATGAGTTTGTGAACTTAATTGTCCAACCTCGTGTATGTGCTCTGATGTTCATTGCAGCTTTATTTATCGTGGCCAAGACAAGGAAACAACCAAAGTGTCCTTTGATATATGATTGGATAAAAAAGATGTAGTGTATATACACAATGGAATACCACTAGACCATAAGAAAAGATGAAATAGTGCCATTTGCAACAACATGGATGGCTCTTGAGATTATTATGCTAAGCGAAATAAGTCACACAGATAGAGTCAAGAACCATATGATTTCACTGATATGTGGTAGATGAAGGTATACGTTTCCCTCTTAACACTGCTTTCACTGTGTCCCATAAGTTTAGGTGTGTTGTGTTTCTTTTTCATTCATCTATAAGTATTTTGTAATTTTCCTTGTGATTTCTTTTTTGATCCATTGGTTGTTTAAGAGTGTGGTGTGTAATCTCCACATGTTTGTGAATTTTCCAGTTTTTCTCCTGCTACAGATTTCTACTTTCATTGCACTGTGATCAGAAAAGTTACTTTGTATGAATTTAGTCTATTAAATCTATTAAGACTTGTATATGGTCTATCCCAGAGAATGTTCCATGTACATTTGAGGAAAATGTGTATTCTGCCATTGTTGGGCAGAGTGTTGTATATGTCTGTTAGCTACAATTGGTCTACAGTGTTGTTGAAGTCCTCTGTATCTTTGTTAATATTCTGCCTGGTTGTTCTATCCCTTATTGAAAATGGGATATTGAATGAAGTCTCCTACTATTATTGTAGATCTATTTGTCTCTTCAATTTGTCAATGTTTGCTCATATACTTAGGAGTTCTAATGTTTGGTGCAGATATTTATAAAATTTTTATAAATTTATTTTCTCATTATAAAATATCCTTTTTTTGTCTCTTGTGACATTCTTTTGGCTTAAAGACTGTTTCGTCTGATATTATTATTAGCCATCCCTACTCTCTTTTGTTTACCATTTGCATGGAATATCTTTGTCCATCCCTTTATTTTCAACCTATCTGTGTCCTTAGATCTAAAGTTAGTCTCTTGTAGGTAGTATTTAGTTGGATCCTGTTATCCATTTTGCTAATCTATGCATTTTGATTGGGGAGTTTAATCCATTTACGTTTAAAATAATTACTGATACGGAAAGACTATTTCCATTTTGTTATTTGTTTTCTGTATGTCTCAGATTTTTTTTGGTCTCTCATTCCTTCTTTTATTGCCTTCTTTTGTGTTTGATTTTTTTTTTGTAGTAACATTTATACCCTTTTCATTTCCTTTTGTGTGTATTCTATAGACTTTTTTCTTTGTAGTTACTATGGGGATTACATACCTTAAGGCATAACAATCTATTTTAAACTGATACTAATGTAACTTCAATACTGAAATTTATTTTGTTTTTGAGCCCTTATGGTGTACCAGGTATTGCATTAAGCACTCTACACTTACCTCATTTTAATTCTTTTAGTAACGTTCTAAAATGCAGGTATTACTATCTGCATTCTATAATTGAGGAAACCAAAACACAAATAGAATAATTAATTAACCCATAGTTGCATAGTTAGGAAGTAGCAAAGTCAGAATTCAGTCCAGGTCTACCACACCCTCCTGTGTTCCACCCAGCACCGTGAATAGTCTAAACTTACATTTCCTCTGTAGGTAGGGTGGCCACATGGCTTTGTTAAAACTTGTAGCTGACTAGTCCCTTTTTTTTTCAGAACATGTAATTGATGACTTTTCTTTCTTATTTGACATTTAACATGGGTGTATGTGCTAAAATGGAAGCACAGGGATGGTGACACAGAGTTGAGACTTGAAAGTGTACACATAAAAATGTAAGTTATCTGAAGTTTAACGTAACCAACTTAGAGTGAAAATTTTCCTTATGATTGTCACAATTTTTCCAATAATGGAACAAAACTTGAAGCTGTTCATTAAAGTAATAAACATACATTTAAAAAGCATTGTATGTTGGATTGTAGGGAATTGTTTAATGAATACTTTTTTTTCTTCTTTAATAGTCTACTGCCAGAAATATTAATTGGAAGTATGTGCTGCATTCATTTGTTGATATTTTATCGCCAAATTCTTGGAGATGTACTCCTGAAAGGCAGGATGAGCATGCAGAGTGCTGGTAAGAGGACAAATTGCCTCCATAAAAACAGTTTAACTTTATTGGACAGTCTTTGAATTCAATAAATCAATAAGCAGGTATGTATTGAGTGCCTACTGTATGCCAGACATTGTGAGATAGGCACAGTCATCCCTATCCTAGTGGAATGACAGACATGAAACACAAAATTACATGAGTAATCCTTTTCACCTTTTAAAATAAGAGTTCTGAAGAAAAATACACAATGAGAGCATACAGTAGGAAGACCTGAATTAATGTGTAGGGTGAGGGAAGCCTTCTCTGGTTAAGGCATACTTAAGATAAGACCTGAGAGAGGAGTTAGAGATATTGGGGAGGTGGGTGAGTGGGTGGGGGGTGAATCCTTCTACATAGAAAAACCAGCATGTCTGAAGACCCAAGGCAAGAAAATGTGCATGTGCTGGAGGGATTGAAATTGAAAGCAGGCCAGTGTGGCTAAAGCAGAAGGAGTGAGAAGGAGAGCCCTGTGATGGCTTAGCACTCTGTGGACAAGTAGAGTTCATTGTTAGACAGGAGTCTTCTCCCAGTGACTTACCACCTGGATAGGTAAGTAGAAATGGAACTCCAAGTCAGAGAAGCATAGATATTTCTCAAGGAGTAATTATAACTCCAAGAGAAGGACAGTTAAGCCTTTTAATCATTACTTGCCTTTGAATTTATTTCAATGACTAGAAAAACTTCATAAATGACTTACTTAAAGAGGATAAGGCTTACTGTGGAAAACAGTATGGAGGTTCCTCAAAAAATTAAAAATAAAACTATGATATGACACAGAAATCCACTTCTGGGTATTTATCTGAAGGAATCCAAAACACTAATTAAAAAAATGCATGCACCCCTATGTTTACTGCAGCGCTGTTCACAGTAGCCAATATATGGAAACAACAGAAATGCCCATCAATAGACAATTGGATAAAGAAATTGTGGTACATTTATACAATGAAGTGTTACTCTGCCATAAAAAAATAATGAGGGCCGACCGAGTGGCTCAGTTGGTTAAGAGCTCGCGCAAGAGTTTGAGCTCTGAGCAACAGCGGTTCGATGCCTGGCCTGAGCTGAGCAGCTGCTGAGCTGCCAACAGGTGGCAGGATGGCTCAGCCTAAAAAAAAAAAAAAAAAACAGAATGAAGTCTTACCATTTGCAACAACATGGATGGTCCTAGAGGATATTATGCTAAGTGAAATAACTCAGATGGAGAAAGACAAATATCATATGATCTCACTTATATGTGGAATCTAAAGAATAGAATAAACAAACAAACAAAAGAGAAATAGACTCAGATATACAGAGAAAAAAACTGATGGTTGCTAGATGGGAGGGGGTTGGGGGATGGGAGAGGAAAGTGAAGGAATTAGAAAGTACAAATTGGTAGTCACAAAATAGTCACGGGGATGTGAAATACAGTATGGGGAATATAATCAATAATGTTGTAAAGATTATGTAGGGTGTCAGATGGGTACTAGACTATTGGGAGGATCACTTCATAGATTGTGTAGATACCTGACCACTGTACTATACACATGAAGCTGATGTAGAATAATATTGAAAGAATGTCCTATAATTTTATATATATATATATTTCCCCCCCCCCACGGGATATGAAGTACAGCATAGGGAATGTAGTAAATGGTATTGTAGTAGCTATGTATGATGTCAGAAGGGTAGTAGACACTTGTGGGGGCCGGTTATTGTGAGGGGTATAGATGTCTAATTATTATGTTGTTTTATACACCTGAAACCAACTAAAAAAAATAAAAGAAGTAACTTGCAATAAAAATTTTAAAAAAACACAAGAGGATAAGGCTTATAAGTTGTCCTGCAGGTAAGGAGAAGGTTAAACAGAATTATTGACTTCATTTAATCCTGACCATCAGAATACAAGTAAACCTAGTAAAATCTGGAGAAAGGATTTATCTCTACTAAGGACACAAGATCATTCCCAAAGTGTACTTTTGCTTCCTTACATTGGCCTTTCATGTGCAATAATTACCTGTTGTGGAATATCAGTGTTCGCCTACACAGTATTTAGACATGTGGCCAGATTCCTCATTTTCTTTCTTTTTATTTTTTTTTTAAGATTTTTATTGGGGAATTGGGGGGATGGGAACAGTGCTGGGGAATTGGGGGAAGGGGAACAGACAAGTTGCTGTCGTTTTGTTCTTCAGTCTAGTTGTGGAGGGCGTTGCTTCACTGGCCCAAGTTGGCACCAGCATTGTGCTTTTCCCGGGCGAGGCAGATCAGTCGCCGGCTTCTGGATGGCCGCTCACTGCGGCTGCTGGCCGCTCACGCTGGCTGCTGGCTACACACGGTAGCCCATGGCGACCCACTGCAGCAGGGGCTGCAACCTACGCCGTCGCTGGCAACTCATGGCAGCCCAGCTCCAGGTTGAGCTGTTGTTCAGCATCTTAGCTGTGTAGGGCAGTGTCACTGGCCCTCATACGTGGGATCCAAACAAGGGCCCTCTGGCATCCCAAGCCAGCTCTTAACCATTGCGCCACTCGGCCGGCCCAGAGCTCGCACTCTTAACCAACTGAGCCACTCAGCGGGCCCCAGAATCCCTATTTTCATCCATCACTATTCATCGACCCCCAGACTCCAGTCTGGGGTCTTTCCCTGAGTGCTGGTGGACTGGATTCAAGCCTATGCAGCCTTCTTTCTTCTGGTGCTTCCTGATTACTCTTACCACACCACAGTCATAAGTAAGAAAGAGAGGTTGAAAAAAAAAATAGAGCAAAATTTCTAGCCTTATTCTATTCTGTTCAGAGCCACTTTACTCCCACCCTATGCTTTGTCTACTTGATACAGACTTATTCCAGAATCCCCTGGAGTATGGGTGCAGGGACAGATGGAGGTTGAGGGACCAGCTTTGAGCTCCTAGAGGTTAAAGTGTGAGAATGTGCTATCAACAATTCATTGTTGTGGCACAATTATTCTAATCTGAATGAATGTTTTTATGTCTATTGCAGTAAAATTCATTGGACAAAGTGTCTATAAAATCTTTCTGGTCTTTGTATTTCAGATTTTATCAGTCATCCTGTGCTGGCCACCTTCCCCAAGCTCCTGGAGCAGCCTGATGTGATGGATGCACTCAGGGTGGGTAGCATGCATCGTGATGGGAAACTGATGGGTTCTGGAAGCGGTTAAACATACAACATTAGTGAATTCTGACACCTGCTCGTGGGTTTTTTCCCTGCTGTTTGCATGATATCTCACAATCTTTGTCCATTTTCCAGCTAACTTGGGTTCATCCTTCCTTTCTTAGCTTAAGTGTTACTCAGACTGCCTTCCCAGACCCAATAAGCAGATGGAGTGCCTGCTACATACACTATTGCGATCTCTTGTCTGTAGTTTGATCCTTGACTTAAGATGGCCACTAATTGTGTCCTAAGAACAAAAATCCAAAATTATTTGTTAAATAAATCAACTGAGTTCTCAGGGGAAAGTCAGGGCATGCATATCATTTTTTAATTTAATTAGACATGTACTGTCTGCTGTATGAAGCCGCAGCTGATTAAACCATATGAAATCTTCAATTTTCAGCCATTTTTGACCTTCAAAAATGTCAGTTTTATAAAGTTCAACTTAGTATATCAGGGTCAACGAATATTACAAGACCTGTATGCCTACAAGGCAGATGCTCAGATACCATGGCGAGTGCCACAGGGAAGTATGACCCAGGTCCTTGAAGACTTAAAAGAGGGCAGCAAATAAGGACAGGAGGCTGTTTCATTAAAGAGGTCCTGGGTGAGATAGACTTAATACAAGGCTGGGGCCAATTTGGATTTTGACATGCTGAGATGGGAGTGGAAGACATTACAGGTGGAGGGATCACCATGAGCAAACATTTTGAGGTAGGAGGGACTGGAGAGTGTTTTTGAGCAGAGCAGTGATCCACTGTGGCATGTCGTCAGATGTCGTCGGTAGATAGGCACGGCCAGCCTGAGTCTCATGTCTAAGGGTGGAGGGCAGTAGGTGGTTGGTGTCCCGTGAAGATTTTGCTTCAGGCAAACTTCTGACAGCCCAGAGAGGTAGAAAACACACATACAGGAGGAAGGTGACTGTGTGACTCCTGTTAGTAAGGAGGGTGGTCATATGTGTCTGACAGAGAAATGGAAGATTCTTATGAGACTTTGAAACTGATTTCATGTGCTGGTTTGACTGGGGTGGAGGGTGTCAACAGTAACAATGAAATTTGCAGCAAAAACACTTAAGAAAAGTAGTTCATGGCATATGATTTCCCATAATTTCAGATAAATTCATTTGGCACTATAGCTAGATAATGCAGAATTCCTCTTTCTTCCCTTATATAGTCACTAGTATTATAATATTTATTCATTATACAAAGCATACATACATTGATTCATTCAACAAAGATTTCACAAGAGCCCACTGTGGTTGAGGCACTGTGCTGGACATTGGAATGTTTCTCTAGGTGTATAACAAGTCACAGAATCTGGATGTTGGTGTTAGGAGGAACCTATGGGCTCATCTAGTCTAAATTCTGTATTTCCTGATAAGCAGATGGCTCAATGAAGTGCCATGATGTGTCTTGCCTTGGAGCTCAACAGTGGCCAGGCCAGGCTGTCACTGCTGTTCAGCTCTGGGTGCATTCAGCTATGTCACAGGCTCTTCAAGAAAAGGCACATAGGTGAAGTTGTGCACGTACATTATTAAGCAAAAAACAAATAAACAAACAAAAAGCCCATTTGTGGTATAAGCCTGTTTAAATATATATACTTGTATTTGTATATCTGCTATGAAAAGTTCTGAAAGAATAGACTCTAGAAAGGTAACAGTGCTTACCTCTGGATTTCATGGGTTACTTTATCTGTATTTTCTTTTTCCACAGTGACTTATTTGTATAATAAAGGATAAAATTTAAAAAGTGGTTTGTTCCTACAGTCTTGAGCTTTCTCTTGGTGGCACCCTGTATGACCAAGGATAAGCCAGGCTGTGCAGTGGTAGCTTTCAGGTTTCTCTTTTGCTCATGGTACCTTCCAGCATGGATCAATGGAATGCCCTGCTCCATAGTCACCTAAGTCCACAGTCTGATAGCCATCATCTAAACCACTGGCTCCCTCTGTTGCCAGCTCCCCTCAGAAAGAGAGAGAATGGAGAACTGTCCTTGGGCTTCCCACTGCCTATGCCCCGAGGCACCATGGACCAGAACCAGTCACTTGGTCCCACTAAATTTCAAGGGAGCTGGGAGGTAGAGTCTCCTGTTTGCTCCAGAGGAAGGAGAAGTGATCTTGGTACATAGTAGTGACCTTCCCTCCCACATGCTTTCTCTGTTCCCCGTTGAGTTACAGTAAGTGAAACACCCGACTACTTGCTGGTAACTCAGTGAAAAGTTAGGTGGGACCTTGACACTTAACTAATGAACAATGGGCAAATCTTACCAGCTGGTAAGTCTAAAGTTGCTGAGTGATATTTATGTTAAGCCAGATTCCTTTCAAAGTTTTACATTATGAGGTTTGTGAGCCTCTTGGTGTTCACTTGGCTAAGTTCTGTTTGTTGTTGGTGCTTGGGTGATAATAATGGCCTGTACAGTAAAGCACTCTGCTCTCTAAGGGTCCCCTTCAAACTCTCCAGGACCCACAGGTACAGCAGTCAGTAGGTGGAGTGACACATCCCCTAAGGTAGCTCTCCCTAGGAATACCTGTGAACGTTCTGGGATGTGGCTCATGAGGGACACAGATGAGGTCTCTTGGTGGGAAACTTCTCCTTTATTTTGTGGAGAATGTCTGTCTTGGTGCCACATGTCATATTAACCCCAGGGCCTTCCTACTGAGAATGGACTGGTGGTTCCATGGAACCCTGAAATCAGGTACAATAAGCACAACCTAAGGCCCAGGAACGAGCAGCTGAGCCTGGGCAGCCCCCTCGCTTGCAGTGCATGGAACTGGCACCGAGAATCTTCAACTCAGACTTCTGTGGGATTAATGGGACTCTGGTTTTTGTTTCTTTTCTTTTTTTTTTTAATTGGGGAATTGGGGGAAGGGAACAGTGTTGGGGAATTGGGGAAGGGGACCAGCCAAGTTGTTGTTCTTCAGTCTTCGTTGTTGAGGGCCCCAGTTGCCATCTGGCTGCCCGTCGGCAGCTTGTGGCCTCTAAGCTCAAGGTGCTGTATTCAATCTTAGTTGCGGATGGGCGTAGCCACCATCCCATGCGGGAGTCGAACCGGCAGCCTTGTTTTTAAGAGCACATGCTCTATCCACTGAGCCATCCGGGTGGCAGCTCAGCTCAAAGGGCCGAGTTCAGTCTTAGTTGCGGGCAGGCATAGCCCACCATCGATCAGGCAGTCTTGTTGTTAGGAGCACGTGCTCTCACCAGCAGAGCCACCCTGCCACCTGTTGGCAGCTCAGCTTGGGTGCAGCGTCACTGGCCCATGTGGGAATCGAGCCCACGGACCTGTTGCTCAGAGCTCTCACTCTTAAGCTAACTTTTTTTTTTTTAAGATTTTCTTGGGGAATTGGGGGAGGCGAACAGACAAGTTGCTGTCCTTTTGTTCTTCTGTCTAGTTGTGGAGGACGTTGCTTCACTGGCCCTTGTTGGTATTATCATTGCACTTTTCCCATGTGGTGGCAGTCCCTCGTCAGCCATTGGATGGCTACTCACAGCGGCTCACGGCAGTTCACAAAAGCACACGCCAGCTGCTGGCCAGCCCCACTGCAGCCTACACCGTCTCTGGCAACTCACAGCAGCCCAGCTCCAGGTCGAGCTGTTGTTCACCATCTTAGCTGTAGAGGGCACAGCATCACTGGTCCTCATGTGGGATCTGAACCGGGGCCCTGCTGCTCAGAGCTGGCGACCCAAGCCAACTCTTAACCAGTGTGCCACTCTGCTGGTCCTTAAGCTAACTCTTAACCAACTGAGCCACTCGGCCGACTCCTGGGTTTTTCTTTCTTTAAAGAAGCATTGGGGTGATCCGGTGGCTCAGTTGGTTAGAGCATGTGCTCTTAACAAGGTTGCCTGTTCAATTCCCACATGGGATGGTGGGCTGTGCCTCCCACAACTAGATTGAAGGCGGTGACTGTACTTGGAGCTGGGCTGCACCCTCCACAACTAGATTGAAACAGCTACTTAACTTGGAGCTGATGGATCATGGGTCCTGGAGAAACACCATTCCCCAATAAAAATTAAAAAAAAAAAAGAAAAAGAAATAAAAGAAGCATTGGTGGAGCCTCATGGACACTGAAAATCTTTACAGGAAAGCTGTACTGCATTTATGTCACCCTGACCGTGTAGTCATCACGGCAGAAACAATTGCAGACACGTGTGGTATTTGTCATTTTTCTATTATCATTACTGTCTTACCTTAAAAGCTTGCTAGTGTTGTGTTGTTCAGGCACTGTGTTTGTGCTGTTTGAGTATATATATGTTAGCGCTTCACTGATTCTATTCTTATATTAGCTTTAACTTGTAAGAAGCACAGGCTACCGAGGCGTCTTTCCTTGCCAGTGTGGTTCCAGGTCATGGTCATTATCAGTAGATGCCTGCAGATTCAATTCTTATGAGTGTGGGTTCTGCACAGAGTTTTAAACCCCAACCATATGTTTAATTTACAATGAAGCTGCAGAAGTGTGGCAAAGACTTGTGAACCAATGGATTAATATAATTCTTCTGTTTCCTTTTTAGAGTTCGTGGGCTGAGAAAGAAAGCACATTAAAAAGATCAGAGAAGGTAGTATGCTTTTTCATGTGGAACTTAATATTTGCAGCACTCAATGTGTGCTTGCACATTCTAATAATGCCTCTTTTTTTTTAGCTAATATAGCTATAGTTATTATCCCTCTTAATCTGTTAAACTTGTCATTATGGCTGTAGACACATTACAAGAAGTGTCTGGGTGAACAATTCCTAATGTGAAAAGAAACACTTGTTCACATTTTAGATCACTGAGTTTCATTTAGTTGAGGAAGTTTCTAAACCAAAGTCTCCCAGTTGACTATCAAATTTCTCTTATTTTAAAAATATTCCTCTAGCTCTCAAAGTCTATATGAGGTAAGGAGAAGGAAAGAGAAAATTGGCCTAAACTGTATCATACATTGAAAACTTCATGGCTCATGCTTACATTGCGGTGGAAGTATGGTCATTACAAACCAAACGGTGCCTGCATTAGTCAGTGAGCAGTGACATGACTGCTCTAATCTAGGATTCAATGAATGTTTTCTGTAAAGGGCTAGATAGTAAATATTTTTGGCTTCCTGGACCTTAATAAGTCTCTGTCACAATGACTCAGCTTGCCATTGTAATGCAAAAGACAATAGGTTAACATCTGAACATGGCTGTGTTTCCATAAAACTTTATAAAAAGAGGCAGTGGACTGCATTACAACCATGGTCCGTGGTTTTCTAATTTAAAATGTTAATTATCTACAAGGAACACAGGAGAACAAACTAAAAACCCTAAAAACTGGGGGGAAAGTATACATATTGTATTCTTATTTGAGCTTCCCTTTGACCAGTACCATCTACATTTGACTTTTGCTAAATGGGCAGGTTTAATGCTATTTTAGTATAGCTATTCTATTCTAGTGGACAAGGTGCTGGACCTGAGGCCTGTAGAAATCACCCCCTACAACAGGGTGAGCTTGGAGGGACAGCATCTGTGTGCAGACTCCACTGCGTGTGGATTCCTCTGCCTTCAGATTGCCGTGCTCTAGGATTTCCACCATAGCTTGTCAGTGTCATGTCAGGGGTTGCTGACCGTGTTGACACTGCAGTAGTCTTGTTATCTAGGGAGGGTCTAACAACAAATTCTTACTTCTGGGGTCTCCTTTCTCTGGGTTTCACACAGAACACTTGCTGCCCTTTTCTTATAACAACTTGACAATTCTCTGATGTGCTGTAATCAAATTAAGTGGATAGTGCAAACTTCACATTGTGTTTGACTTGTATTTACTTGGACCCACACCTGTGTCATCAGAATTAGACTTCTGCACCCCATTCTACTTGATGGAAAGTGTGAGACTTCCTCAGTGGGGCTTAGGAGAGCACTAGTCTTAAGGAGCAACCCCCACGAGCCTCAGGGAGAACTGCTCATCTCCGCTCCATGGTGAACTTTCCTTCCACTGAGAGGGGCTGTTTCCTGATTGAGTGGCTGGTGCAGAGCCAATGAACTGCCAAGCACTATTGACACCTCCACACTCCCTTATGGCTTTTAGTTAAGAGTTCATCGAATTTAACACAACAAATAATGATGCAGACCAATTCACAGTTATTTATGGTGGTGTTTTCCTAGAGAGACAGAGAGTTCCTGAAGGCTGTGTTTCTTCTGGTTTACCATGACTGCGTGGTCCCCCTTCTTCATTCGACACTCCTGCCCCCATTCAGGTGGGCAGAAGAAGAGACTGAGGCTGCACGATGGAAAGTCATCGCCGACTTCCTGAAGCAAAACCAAGAAAACAAGGGTGCTCTCCAAGCTCTGCTGTCACCAGATGGAGTCCATGAACCTTTTGACATTTCGGAGCAGACTTATGACTTCCTGGGTGAAATAAAAAAGAAAGCAGCCTGACACTGGTGGCCCATGACCCTCACCTTCCCACCGCATCTCAAGGATCCTCCATGGTGACCTGAATAAAGTAACAGAACCAAAAGTAACTGTCACGTTAACTTAGGCTTTACTCTTCTTTGTACAAATTCTATGTGAAATGGTTATCTCATAAGTTGAATATGCTTTAATACAATAAAATAAGTCTTTATAAGGAATACTGTTATATCTAAATAAGAGAATTTTTTTTCAAAAACTAACTTAAATTTAAGTTAACTGTAACTATAGATTTGTTTCAAAGCAAGATTTCATCAAAAGCTGAATTTGTGATCAAGAAAATGAAACTACAATCTGTGGAATTGGAGAAAATACTTGCAAATCATATATCTAATGAGTCTAGCATCAAAAATATGTAAATGTATGATTATTGCTAATAGAATCTATGTTGTGAAGTGAAGGGGAACTCAGTAACCTCATTGAGAAAGTTGTGTTATTAATCACTTAATTCAGTCTAATATTTGAATGTGATTTATCCTAATTAGATATAAAGGAAGAATCTAGTTTGGCCTTTTTAGGTCCATATGGTAGGTACTCTTTCAAAAAAAAAAACAACCCATTCAAGCTTTGGGAAATACGTTAACCCACCCATGTCCAAGAACAGTTTTGCTGTATTTCAGATAAACTTGTGATTGCTGGTAAGTTGTCCCACACCTTCACCATTAATAATGATGGTATAGCTGGTATCTACTGAGTGCCAACTGTGCATGTTCTCAGTTAACTAGGTTAACCTTCACAGCTACTCCAGGAGGCAGGTAAAGTTTTGTTCCATATTACTGCTGAAGGGACAGACCAGGCTGGTTAAGTAATTGGCCAGGGTCAGAGCTAGTAAGTGACACAGCTAATATACCAAGTTAAGATACCATGTATCATTTTCTACAACCTAGAATGCTCCCCTCATCAGTGCAAACGTTTAAGAATTTTATGTGAAAATAAAACACAATAAGGTGTTTGAAGAAAAATATGATTAAATAGACAGAGTGTGACCTAATAATCATAGTAGTAACTGAAGTACTATTTTTTGACATCATGCTACCTTAAAAGAGGCATTTATTTTTAGAGATCCGTCATATTATGAAACTTCTGGGCTACATCTTAGTCAGCTTACCCTAAGGCCTTAACTTAAACTTAACTTGGGCCTCATGTCAGAAGTGAACAACTATGACAGGCCACAAATATGACAGGAGAACTTGGCCTTGGACAAGAAATTCCACTCTATCTCCAGGAGCTGGTTTCCCGAGATTCTCTGCCTCTCTGTCCCCTCTGTCCCCGGTGACACATGGGGAGCAGGGTCAGACGCCTCCTTCCCAAAGCAGTGCCCTCTTCTCCTGGGCCCACTGTCCTCCCAGCTCCTGCCTAGCAAGAGGTGGTGAGAGTGTGTGGAGACTTTAAGCCACTCTGTCACTGAGTTGCCTCCTCTTAGGTTCCTGCAGTCTTGCGAAGGAATGTGCAACCATGTCACTCCCCATATGAAGGTCATTTTTCTATAGAATTTTGAATTCCTAAGTTCCATATTTTTAAAAATCATTTAGCTTATTCTTTGCATTAAGTCAGAGTTGAGCATTTTGAATGAAAGAAACTACTGCTGGTGAATTCCTTTCAGTGAATCAAGGGAGAGAGCTTTCTTGGAATGCATTTTAATGGACTGTCTTCTGTGATCATTTGAATGTGTCATGATTGACAAGTGTGGGCAACTTCATACAATAGTTTCTGACACATGAGAAAAACATGGGGACACGAGAGAAGACAGTTTCAGTAATGCTTAGGCCCAGAAGTGAGGCACCCACTCAGTTAATCTAAATGAAGCGGGCAGTTCACAGGGGTGAGGGCGACTCGCTCCTCAGTCAGTGGAATCTTTTTTTGAACAATGAAACCTCTCTGGCTTTTAAATGCCACTTGTTAGCTTCCAAAACAGAAAAAGGTTGTCAAGGAGCTAAAAACACCCCGGAAATGAGTTCTAGGGCTGCATCGAGGAGTGTGGCTTGGCAACATGCCAACTTAATCATGATCAGGGTGGGGGTAGGGAGCAACAGGGCCTCTGTGAGCCAGGGACTCCTCACGCAGTGGGGGACAGGGCAGGGATTCTAAGCCGCATTGTGGCTTCTTCCCCTCCCACCTCCCAGCCTCTTACAGGTGGTTTAGTGTCGTGCCCATCACGTCTGCTGGAGGTGGAAAATGTCGCCATTCCCTTGCCTGGGTGCTTGGCTCAATGGCAAGGGGATGGACATATTCCAAAGAACAGGTCAATCTCTGTCTTCAATGATTTTATGATCTAAGATGTGATTGAGGCAGAACAGCTCACAAGGAACTAGTTGAGATATATAATACCACATACACATGGAGCAGGTTTGACCTGCCAACCCAGTAGCACCTGGGAAACCCATTCATGTAACAAGGGAGGACGCTGGAAGTCATCCGCTGGTTGAGGGCTTTGGTGGTTTGCAGCATCATAGAAGATCTTTTGCCACAAACTGGCTCAGATTCCTCTGGAGTGAAGCATCCAAGTGGGATGGTCTTCTCAGGGCAGGGAGGTGTCAGAGCTGGTTGTCACCAAGCTGCTTTGTGTTCTGTTTCCTCAACACAGAAAGTCAGAGACAGAACCCTACTTTCTTAAAGAACTGGGCATCTGAGCTTTATAGTTGTCCCCCATTCATTCTTTTATTCAACGTGCATTATTGAGCACCCGCGATGCTCTGGGCACAGAAACAGGCTTGGAGGACACAGTGGGACTGTCCCATTGCCCTGAATTACAATGCATGAGGTGGACAGTAACCCCTCAAAGGAAGGATGCAGACTGCTAGAGGGCCTGTCATTGTATCTTTCTATTGCTGCTGTTATATTTAAATCCATTAATGTCGTGGCCTAGGATGATAGTAGCACTGGGCAGACACAAAGTAATTGGTCATATGGGCATTCCTTCCTGTCCACAATCTCCACACTCCACTGTTTGATGTTGGAGATCTACTCGTACAGATCAGTTTTTAGATGGATCCCCTCACTGAACTCCCAGCATTCACTGTCTGAAACTCAGCACTCATGGATTAGATAACCTGGCACCCCTCAACACACAGACTTGCTACCTGAACTCTGGATATTTAAGCACAGTAATCAATAGACTTGGAGGAGCGAGGGCTGGGCGGAGCCATAAGTGAGAGCGAGTGAAGGGCTGTGAATCTTGGGTAGGAAAATGGGGCCTCAGGTTCTGTGATGCCATGATGACGGACACTGGATGAGGTCATGCATGTCTGTGAGTAGTAATGTAAAATGGAAATCATTAATGGAACACAGCTCAATCTCAGGACTTTGGTCTGTGTCTATTGTGTAGTCTGTTTTTCAGGTTCTGGAGACAGGCTGAACCTTAACCTGCTCGTTTGTGTCTGCTTTACCAGCAAAGATAACTTTGCAGAATTTTGTCCTTTCAAAGAAGCCACCTTGGTGAATAACAGAAAAGGCTCCCGACTTTCTGAGCTGTTCTCCAGGTAGAATCTCTGGAAGACATTATCTGCTGAGTCTTCCCTCTTTCTAGGCAGATGTCCTTTGACCCTGAAACATTCTGTGCCTGTCCAGATCCCATAGACACTGGGAACCAGACTTATTTCTGTCTGACATCACAAACAGCATTAAACACAGCCTCTGTCCAAGACTGGGCCTGTCGTGTAGACATTCTATCTCCTCCTATCTCCTCCATTTGAGAGTCAAGGTGACCTTGATTTGTAGATAGTGGTTGCAATCAAGCTGCAAATCAGCAGGCGAGGCCAGTAGAACACAGGGGTCCCTGAGACACAAAGGAGGGCTTGGCTCCTCTTTCTAGAGGGAAAGTTACTGGAGTAGACATCTGGTGCTTTTGCTGCCTATGCCTAATATCCATATGCTTCTCTCATGGTAGTTTCACCCCTCATACCCATCTGGAGGAGCCCCCTTACACACACACACACACACACACACACACACACACACACACAC